ACTACAGCATTTGTGATTTATTTATTCAACAAACATTTCAGGGCCTTCCTTGTATAATAAGATAGTGCTTTAGAGACTGAAGTGAGGAGAGAAGAGAAGATATAAAAAGATTAGGTAATTTCCTGTTCTGGGGAACTTACAGTTTAATATACAACATAAAGCAGACCCATGGCCTGTTGGGATGTACAAAGTGCTTAGGAAAGATGGCCAGGACCTGGGAATTCAGAGGAGGAAGAAGACCTCTGGCCAAAAGATCACAAGGAAGACCAAGGGGAGGGTAATTTTAAACTAAAAGATGGATAGGATTCCACTGGCCTTTTATCCATGAAGTTTCTTTAGTTGCAAACAACAAAGGGAAACTGGGAGAAGCTGGATTGAAAAATATAGGAAAAGGGCAGTTCTGTATGTCCAGGAAGCAAAAATGATGGTTAGACTCTTCAAGGTGTGCCGCTTTCACAATGAGTGCACTTGTGTTCACATCTTTGGGCCAACTCCAGAAAGAGAAGCTTTAACTGGCTAACTGAGGGCAAGGCAGAATGACTGCAGGTTTAACTACACTTACACAGAATGAGAGAGATACGGCCACGTGAAAAAGGAAATCAGGGTGCTGTTACCAACAGAAAGCAGTCCTAGATAATGCACAAACAAAATTCAAATGCCCACTTCAGCATCTTTTGGAGTGTGAATGGGGAAAAAAAAACTGAGGTAAAGAAAAGGAAAAATAAATAAGGTCAATAGAACATTAGAGTAGCCTGATTTAGCGGAAGCACAGGATGGATAGACTCGTCATCAGAATGAGCCAGACTGGCTTGCTGGTCATCTCCACCTTCCTCTTCTTGTGCACCCCACACCATCACAATGAACTGCTCTTCCTAGTTTATGTTAAGGTACAAGCTGATTCCAGAAGCAATTGACTTAAGGGAAGGGAATATGTGAGCCCGTGATCATGCCCATGAATGAAGTTGGTATTACTCTTGCCAGCTAGTAGCAATGAGACCGTTGGCACAAACATTATGGAACCTGGTATATTTTTCCCTCAACCTTAGGAAGAGTGTCTGGCTTCAGCTACATGGCCAGGACTTGAAATTGTCTTAAGGAGCATGCTAAGGGGATTCTGTGCATCTGAGCCAAGCAGCAGCATCCTTCTTTGCTTCCTCAATCTGGGCATTGAACTAGCAGAGGGGGAAAAGCAGTTCTACTGAGGACATTTCTGAACACTGTGAAACTGTAGGGATGCACACCATTTTCACCCAGTGACATTTAGAGTTTTCTCCACAAGTAATCCATAGGAATTGCTCCCTATTGCTTCCCTACTCTCCACTCCATCTTTGCTCTGAACCAAGTATCAAATAATTTGGGTGAACTTCACCTTCCTCATACATATATTTATATGTAAGTATATATATAGAAACATACACACATACATATACATACATATATATATATATACATGAAACCCAGAAACAATTATATATACACACACACACAAACACCTATATAGGGGTTAAGTTGAGATAGACATTGACTGTTTTGGCTAAGAAGTTTAGTTTTCAGACTGTAGATTATGCAAATTAGGTACATATTATTTAGAACAGTATCATAGGCTTCAAATCCCCCAGCTCTCTCATTGACAAATGTGTGATCTGAGAAGGTATTACATCCTTTAATCTATTATTTTATTTTGTAAAATAGAGGAAGTAAAAAATCATTCATTTATATGATATAATTTAATAATTATTAAAATATAATAGTAAGAGCCACTGAATTTTTTAAAGAGTACAATGGCTAAGGCATGCAATGAGATACTGAAGTTAACAGTGCTGTGCTGGACAGAATGAATTATGTAGGCATCCAGTAAGATACCAAATCTGAGTACCACTGACAGATGGTAAAACACAAACTACACAACTAATAGTAGTGAAATAAAAAATTATAACTCTGGCAAATGAGATAACAGACTATTCCTTTTAATAATAGATAACATCTACTGAACACTCACTATGTGGAATTCTTTATTTTTTAGTTTACTTTAAAATGTTAATTTATGTACTTGAAATCATGTAGTTTTGCGACCCAGGCTTTATTTTTAGCTCGATCATTGCCCACAGTCTGTTGCTTAATTTTTCCACTGTCTGTTGCTTAATTCTTCTCTAATTGAAATTTCTAATTAAGGAAAAATATTCCTTTAAATATATGTGTGTATATATATTATGTATACACATATATGTAAAAATATTTCTACACACACGTATATCAATAGGTGTTATGCACAGTTGCAAATAAAAGAATAATTTTAGAAAATGAGTATATACTTTTTCTTATATAACAGGGAATTTTATGGTATGTAATTGCTGATATTATAATTTAGGTGCTTAGTAAAGCCATCAGGGACCCAGGATATTTCTAACTTCTACTCCAGTATCCTTAGCAAATTAGAGTTTTCCTTTGTAAATGTCACTTCATGGTTAGAATAGGGCTCCTAGATCACAGGTATCAAGGCTAGTTCAATAAAGAAATCCTGTCCTTCTGTGTTAGGTCTCAATGGCCAGACCCATAGCTGCTGGAAGATCCAAGGGCAGCTAAGAAAGTGGGGAACGAGATTATCTGGTTGTTTTAGACCACTGTGATCCATATCCTTGGCCATATCAGCATGTTTGGGTCTGAAATTAAATCAGGTTTCTTAATAAAAAGAATAGAGTACAGCTTGCCATAGTAAGGATAGTAGGTAAATAAAATTATCCTGCTTGAGAGATGCTATGATAAATTGTGAAGTATTTATGAAATATGAGGCAAGAAAAGTCCTTCCACAACAAAGTGATCATTCATTTGTGACAATTCATTTTAATTAACATAAGAAATTTTATATTCTCAGAAGTTTCACCAGATCCTTCCATAGGAAAAAAGGATATAGCCAGTGTTTGAATGAATACACAGCCTTTTTTGTTGTTGTTTTCTTTTATAGATAAACTTTTGAGAGGGCTTATAAAGTATGCTTATAGTAGAATAAATGGTTTAAACCAATAATATATTTTCAGGGATAAGAATCATCCTGGACTACAAAATGTGAGCTTGTCTATGTTACATTAGGTGAGTGATTCTAGCTCACAGTAGTGGTCAGACTACATCTGTTGTTCTATAGTAAGCATTTTCTCAGGCTGTCGGAAAGCATCTCATCACTTCACTTGGCCCACACCATAGACAAAAGGAGAAAGAGAAGAAAGATGGAGTAAACTTACTGAAGGCCCTGTAGACGTAGAACTCTGCAGAAACGACAGCTGAGAACAGGCAGCACAGTGCTTGCTCCATAGCTGTAACGAATTTGCAAGGGTAGGCGTGTTCTGCTGGTCAGGGAAGACCAAGAGAACAACAATGCGAGGATTTCTGATTATTAACTACTTCAGTGTGATGTCAGCGAATCCAAACACGTGGAAATGCAGAGCACTTGGAGATATAAATAATAGGTCTTCGTTGACATACGTGATGGTAGTTTCAAGTGACTTTCGCTTCTGAGTACTCTGCTTCTTTGTGAAAATGATTTTGAATTTGGAAAATTATTTGTGCAGGCATTCTGGATGTTATATTTATGTGCACCCAGTAAGCAACACATTTTTCCTTTGATGTCATTTGTTTTCCATTACCATATTATACTGGGTGGAAAAAAAATAGTTTGAGATTATTTGCTAAAATATGAGAGACTTGTTTGGAGAGTAAGAATTTGGAGAGTCAGTTCAGTTAAAAATACCATTTTTTATGGCACCTTACGGGAGCTGTGCCAGCAGAGTAGCAGGCAACTGAAGCAATGGATCTAGAAACTTGAGAAGTGTTACAATATATAGTTTGCAAATATATTAACTACTGTATCTGTAAAAGGTGTTTTGTTGCATATATGCACACCCACATACTGCTATTTACATGATCATGTGCTGCAAATAGACTGATGAATTATAATGAGATCCAAAAGGATTTGTAGGGAATATGATTTTTGTGACTATTACAAATTTCTTATTTCCTCTATCTTTAATTCTTTGTCTTGGCTTAATTTCCCAATACATTTGAAAAGATAAAGGTTTCAGAAATTCTTGTTTGTATTTTTATTGTATTTTATTAATTTATAATTTGTATTTTTAGTTGTAATTTATTCTTTTGAGTATAAAAAGGGATTTAGCTAAATCTTCATAATTTAACATAATTACCTTTAAATGTGAAATTAATCTTCATTAGATCCACAACAGTGGTTTTCTTGCCTAAAGCCCAGTTCATTTTTCATTAAGTTATAATGGCAAATACACTCAAAATTATTTCAATAATAAGATTAAAAAATACCTAAATTCTTTCAAACTTGTCTCTAGTTAAAAATATCTGCATATATTTTATATGCCAAAGATATTATTTTGATCTGTTTTGTAAAGGGAGTAAAGCTTAATAATTGTGTAGGGTTTTTTTCTTTTAACTTTTTTTATCACTCTACTTATCTAAATCCATAGTAACTTTAAGTAACTTAAAAATCTTTTCCAGCCTTGAAGATATGCTAAGTGAAACAAACAAGTCAGTAATAAAAAGGCACATGTTATGTGATTCTACTTACCTGAGATACCTAGAGTAGTCGTATTCAGAGACAGACAGTAGATTGCCAGAGACTGGTGGAAAGGAGAATGGGAAGTGTAAAAAAATAAGTTTTTCTAGAGTTAATGACATATACTGTGATTTTCCAAAATCAGTTCAGAAGTAACATGTATCTTTTGCCATAAAATTGAATTCATTCTAAAAGAAAGGCAAATTAATAAAATATATGTGAAACAATGAGCACAGACTTAATAGACAATTATTATCTCAGTGAAAGTTATCTTTTATTATTATTGCAGTAAATGTTTCAGAAGGTCTAATGAACAATGTGAAATACGCATCTTTTAAATGGGTTCATGAGTATATTCATGACACAATCAAATTACTTACTTAAAACACTTTCCAATGTCCTTTATTAAGAAACTTTATTATTCCAGGAGGAATTGTTGATAAGGATCTTCGTCACTACCTCAACTTACGATTTCAGAAGGGTTCTGTGGACCACGAACTTCAGCAAATCATCCGTGACAACCTCTACCTCCGCACGGTGCCGTGTGAGTACAGCAGTCAATGTTATTTTCTTTCTGTGTTAACAGATCAATATCCTGCTATATATCCATTGTTTGAAAGAAAACTTAAATCATACTGATTTTTTAATTTGGGCTTATGGAACAGAAAGTTGATGTGAGATATGGAAGTTTTAAATGCAAAAGCTTGTAATTGCAGTTGTATAGTTTATGATGATGTCATAGCCAGAAGAGACTTGGGATTTTTGAGCTATAAAACCTAACTTACTTCTCAAATTAGTATTGAGAAATATTAATTCTAGTCCAGGATGTTGGTGATTCAGAATTAATTATGCCTGGGATACAACACACAGAATGAATTATTCCTGGGGTAACAGAGGAATGTAAATTCAATTTATTAGCTGAAACACTATAATTTTGAAAGTAGATAACTCCCAACACAGTATCTCTCAACCTCATCTCTGGTTTTCAGCAAGGAATGTCATAAGTAAAAAGAAAATATTATGCATCAAAAAATAAAAGCTAAATGTTCTGTAATTCTTAAAAGGCAATGATGTTGAACATTGAATACATATTTCCTACTCGCAATTTACAGGAATCCACAAACAACAATGCCTGATTGTGAGGAGGTGTTACTTCAAAAAGAAAAAAAAAGAATTGGCAAAATGATAAAATTCACAAGTCAACTTCTTAGTACTTGCTTTGTCTCATTTGAGAATCTGCTACTAACTTTAGGATATTTCAAGAGCTTCTCAAATTAAGTCCTAAATCCTGGATAGCACCAATATCCATTTATCTCAAGGCAGGTTCCATGACTTACAGACTTTCCAGTCTCTGCAGAAACTCTGATCTGTGGGTGTTGTATGTATTCCTTTTGTTTTAGTCTTGCTCTAAACTTTAATAAACTCAAAGCTATAGTCTGTGAAAGGTAGATATTAAAGAAAGAAAAACTTGGGTATGGTAAGTGAAACAAGCAAGCCATATATATGTTAATTTCTTGGATTGAACTATCAGAACTATATAAAAGGCATAGATTATGGATGATTACACTGAAATATTGAAAACACACAGAAAAGTGAAGTGGGTAGTTCAGCCCCTAACCCTTTTCACCTACACACAAACTTAGTTTAGGAGGGGCGATCATTGTTAGCACTGAATACTCATCAAAACAAAAATGCCAGGGCACCACCATCAAAAATTCCCAAATGAGAATGCTTACTGACAGACAGCTTGTCAGTCCAAATGCTGCCTTTGTCAGTGTGTGGGGGTTAAGTGAATAGACTTTTGGACTCTTGCTTCAAAACTAGAAGTTGAGGAAAGCACATTCTTAAACTTGTAAATTTGACAGAGTGATGGGCATAGGAAGATGGATTAAAGTGACTAAACTATTTATAAGGTAATGGGTGGATGCATTTTCAAACCTGTGATGTTGTCAGTGCAACCACGTGAATTTATCTTTTGTGACATGAAAGAGAGGAGATCTGAAATACTGAATAAAGAATTTGAGCACTTTATTATGTCTAAAAGCTGAGGGAAATAGAAAAGAGGCTGCCATTCAGTAATACTTGTAGTCCTTGTTAAGATGATGACATAAATAAGAAGTCTTAATTAAATATGAAAGATAATAGGAGTACATTTTGCACTAGTTAATTAACTCCTTAAATTAGTCATCTCTCTTAAGAGTACCAAAAAAGCACTGTGAAGGAAAAATAAATATTAAGGTAAAGTAACTAGGCTTATAGAAGTCAACATAAAGAGTTTTGTGGTTGACATGATTTTGGTACAGGTCAAAAATTCAATTAGAAATCCTTGGATAGTTTCTATAAAGGAGATAATTAGGAACTCAATGGAATCTCAATATTATAATCAAACAACTATTCTTTGAATTTGTAGCCATCACTCCTAATAGTTGATTCCAATAACACAGTTCATTAATACTACTTTTAACTTGGCATAAAAGTAGAAAACAGAACATCTAAGATGGAGGTAATTCTGATTTACATTATTTATAATCACTTTTATACTGATGAACTGGACCTGGACGATCCACCATCTTCACTCAGTATATCTTTTAGTGAAATGTTCAGACACTTTTAGAGGGTGTGCAGCAAAAATGTGTCAGCAGTGTGAAAAATCCTGCCATTATTTAGAAACTTACATGTGTATCCACAATATCTATTGGCCTTGAGTATGGAGTGGCATTTGTTACATATTCTCTTGGGTCAAAAAATTCTCATTAGTTTGTGAGAGGCAGCAAAAATGATGGCAGAGTAGGAATGCTAGTAAAATCCTCCCCTCATGTAAACACCACGTAAACACTGAAGAAACAACTATTTTGCAAATACAATTAACTCTGAAAATCATCTGAAGACTGCAGAACAGACCGTCTACACCTGGTGAAGAAGAAAGGACCACACTGAAAAGGTTAAAGGGGCAGAGCAGTGATCAGTGGAAATCCAAACCCTTCCCCCATCCCAGCCCACAAGCAGGAGGGAGAGGAACCAAGTGGAGAAGGGGTAAATGCTCAGGAATCTGGCACACCTGGCCCTGGAAATCTGCTCTGAGAATATTTGTCCACATTTCACTGAGCTTTGGTGATTAACCAGGCTGGACACCAGGGAGAGTTGGAGCACTCTTGTGGAGGACAGGCACACTCTCTCAGTCCCACTAAGACCCACTAAGACCCAACACAGAGGTAGAGTTTAAAAGATTTACCAGCAGTGGGAAGTATGTCAGAGGGCAAGGATTGGAGGGAACTCTTTCCAGAGGAAAAAGGACAAGCAGACCAAACTTTGCCAGCCCTCTTTCAGCCCACCAGGTTGGACATTTTTGGAAGCCAGCTCTAAAACATTCCATCTCCCTTGCTGGTGGCTCAGTCCCACAGAGGCACTTCCCTGTATACCCATCCCACCCGGCCTGCTCAGCCCAGTAGTGGTCCAACATTGCTGACTGGCAGGCAGAGGTCACACAACCCTTTCACAGCTCTCCTGGCCCTCTCTCTGCTCAAGTGTCCAGATGCTTGAAGGAGCCAGCTCTAAACACTCCATCTGCCCCATCGGCTGAACCCCAGTGCCCACAGCATGCCTGCCCTGCCTGGCACATGTGGCCCAGCAGCCATCTGCCATTGCTGACCAGCAGGCAGAGGACAGCCCTGCCCAAGCACCTAGCATCTCACGGCACACAGAGGTGAGCTATGGGGCTCAGCCATTGCCAGTAGCCAAGCAGAAAGGTGGCCCTGCCCACAGCCAACCAGGAGCAACTTCAGCTCAGCCACAAAAGAGAACAGGTCACTGGTGAGCAAAGAGTCTTGAGCTTCTGGGCATCACAGTATGCCCACTTCATAAAACATTAAAGTATCACTGATATACAATCTTATATTTGTTTCAAAGGTATAACACAGTGGTTCAACAGTTACCCATATTATTAAATCCTCACCCCCTCTAGTGCAATTACTATCTATCAATATTGAAAGATGTTACAGAATCATTGAGTATATTCTCCATGCTGTACTACCATCCCCATGACCAATTTGTACTGTCATTGTAAATTATTGTGTCACTTTATCCCCCTCACCTTTCCCCCCCACCCAGCTTGACCCCTCCCCCTTGGTAATGACTGATCACTTCTCAGTGTCTATGAGTCTAGTGCTATTTTGTTTCCTGATAAAGCCATTACTTTCAAGACCAGGGGGCATAGCTAATCTAACACAAAGAAAGAAACAAAGAAACACAGACAAAATGAGGAGGCAGAAGAATATGTTTCAAACACAAGAAGAAAATAAAACACCAGAGAAAGAGATTAGCAATCTTCTTGATAAAGAATTTAAAGTCATAAAGATGCTCACAGAACTGGAGGAAAAACTGATGATCTCAGCAAGAACTTAAAGAGAAAATATGAGAAAGAGCCACTCACAGCTGAAAAATACAATAACAAATGAAAAATAAATGGCAGCAGAGGATAGAATCAGTGTGATGGAAGATAGAGAACTGCAGAATAACCAAGCTGAGGAACAGAGAGAAAAAAATTTTTAAATGAGAAGATGCTAAGAGAGCTGTGTCACAACTCCAAACAAAACAATATTCACACAATAGGGAGCCCAGAAAGAAGAGAGAGACAAAGGATTAAGGTCTATTTGAAGAAATAATAGNGGTTACCATATGTGATAGGGTAGAGGAGTATTCAGGGGGAAGATTGAGGGGGATAAAGAGGCACAAAATCTCAATCAATTACAGCATAGATACAATTTCAATAGATACTGAAAAAGCATTTGACAAAATTCAACATCCATTCATGAAAAAACGTCTCAACAAAATGAGTATAAAAGGCAAATACCTCAGCATAATGTAGGCCATTTATCAAACCCACAGTCCACATCATACTCAATGGTGAAAAACTGAAAGCTTTTCCTCTAAGATCAGGAAAAAGTCAAAGATGTCCACTCTCACCACTTATTCAGCATAGTATTGGAAGCCCTACCCATGGCAATCAGATGAGATAGAGAGATAAAAGGCATCCAAATTGTTAATGAAGAAGTAAAACTGTCACTATTTGCAGATGACATGATTCTAAGAATCCACCAAAAAAGCTATTAGAACTAATAACTGAATTCAGCAAAGTCACCAGATGCTAAATCAATATACAGAAACCTTTTATATTCTCATGTACTAAATGAAATTGCAGAAATTCATTTACAACTGCATCAAAAAGAATAAAATACCTGGGAATAAACCTAACTAAGGAAGTGAATGACCTATACCCTGAAAACTATAAGGCACTCATGAAAGAACTTAAAGAAGATACCAATAAATGGAAATACATCCCATGCTCATGGATAGGAAGAATTAATATTGTCATAAATGCCACACTTCCCAAAGCAATTTACAGATTCAGTGTAATTCCTATCAAGTTTCTGTGATATGACTGCCCTTGCACTGTTCATCATGTAAGAACTTATTCACTATGTAAGAACTTGTTCACCATGTAAGAACCTCTTTGTTATGCTTCAGAAGATTGGAGACTGTTGAGAA